CTAACACGAGCAATAGATATTTCAAACGCTTAAAACTAGATTATCCTACTCCCGATACGACGAGGGCATCTAGACGATTTGTCCGGAACATGAAACGACTCAGCGTAAGTTCACATGCGTTGATTAGCATACAATATATCTGACGGAATGTTAGGATATTATCCCAGCCACGAGCCCTTTTCTTCGGCTCTTCTTAGATCTTTTACACAAGATCTTTGTTTACGATCCGGCAAAGCGAATAACTGCTCGGCAGGCTTTGGCACACCCGTGGTTTCGAGAGGCTGCCATCCCCGATGATGGAACCGAGGCTTTAAAAATCCGACTGGAAAGAGCGAGGGATAGCGAATACCATTCTTCTCGAGTCCCAGTTGCAGCATAGGAGAGCTATAATCCCCTTCACTAGTGTTGTTGATATTGAAGGAAAAGTGTATATTTCACCCGGACTCAAGTTTTATGATGCATATGTTGGCGGGTTATGATGCGTATATTACTATCAGCGTGCATGAAGGGCGGATACCGAACGGCGTTTTTAAACCGGCATTCAGCGTTGTATCCGAGGTAATGCGAGCACATACATAGACATATTTGTCAAAGGGCAATCTCATGACCAAAGGGCATCGGCGTATTACGTCTTCTCAATATATACTTTGCACAGAGCAATATTATTGTTGCCAATATATATCTCTGCACATAGTGGACGGGCTCTTGGTACTTGATCCTCTAACAACCAAGAACTTGGTCGAGCTTAGTAACCAGTTAGCTGGTGATCGAGAGTTACACATACTGGTTCCTTCTGGTGAGTGCATTCCCCTTCGAGCTATGCTAACACTGCTCTCATCCAGTAGCCTCCCCGACAACTCTTTGTCTGTATCCTTCGATCTTCGGGCAGGATCTACGTCCACTATGACTCTGAACCTCGAAAGCAACGGATATGTCAATAAACAAGCCGAGTGCCATTCAAGACAAAGGAACTGCTCGACCAGAATGCTGCGCACCGCCAGAACAAGGCCACAAGGCGCCCAATGTCTCGAAAACGATAGTCCTTGTCATGCTGTTTCTAAGCAGGGCGTTCTAATAGGTATAAGACAAGTCAATTCCACCAGGCCGTTCTCGACAACTTATACAGCATTCGCTACGTCATACATCAGACTACCTACATACAATTGATTATCCAGCCCACGTTGATAATACCGCTATCTGTGAAGACATATAGTTCAATCAGATTGATTGCAAAACCTCCTTATCCTGTGTGTCACCTAATGAGTGTTGGGATTCAGGACTTATCGGACGAACTCGTCCTCCGCATCACCAATGTGCTTGCACGGCGTCCCGAATATGGCATTGCCATACCTTCGCGGCGATGGCTCCAAAGGCAGAACGAGAAGATTAATAATCTCCCAAAAGAATTACTGAGACCCTCAGGTCTAAGGCGCCTAGCCATTAAGATTGCCGATCGCATCGACCCGAACATTGTGGACCCGCAGGCGGTGCTCTGCAAAACGCATGCTACCCTTAACCCCTTTCTCATTCGAAGACTATTCATTGCCCTCGCGTACGAAGTCACGGTGCACACAGATCCGTTGCGTTCATGGGAGGGCAGCGCCTTGGACCCCGAGCTCTCTGCTCTTGTCGGGCGACTTGACTCGATCGTGGCATTGTGGACTGTACCCAAACTTTTCCACGACATATACGGACAAGCCCCTTTTGAAGGCCATCATGTATTCGTCAAATCCGGGTGTGAAGCCTGCTGTCTCGCCGCTGTAGGCGCAAGCGGCCGAGCGCTGGCGGATCTCCGAGCCACTCTTGTCGATCGCATGGAACGGCGTCGGGGAAAGCATGTAGAAAATGTACCTCGCCTTTACCGTGTCGTGGAAGCCTGGATTGACCAGCTTCGAAAGAACAGCAACAGTGTAGACCGGCCCGAACAGTGCAGGGCTTTGAGTGAAGCTTTACTGGTCGACTTGAGGATGGCGAGACCTCGGATCAAGGCGTGGCGAGCCGAACAAAAGCAACGCCACCACGAACTACGAGCTGCGCAACATCCTGTATACACCGAGCTCCGAAGAACCCGCTCCAGCGCCCATATCGCGCCTCTGTCCCCTAATGCAGGCCATTTGAGGCGGACGAGGAACGGAATTCCGGTTGCGTTAGTCGACGTTACTGAAGCAGAAAACCGGAGGAAGAGCGCCATGTCCAGAACCAGGAGTGAGAGTATCTATCGCCCCGATAGTATTTCTGGACATTCCCACGTACAGAAGACACAGCGAGCTTCGCATGGCCCTGCTCCCCCCAGTGTTGGCCCCCGGCCAGCTGCTCCAGAACCAGCCCGACTGAGCGGACCTAGCGATGGTTCCCTGACACAATCTTTTCTTCATCGATTCGAGCAGGAAGTGTCAATCGACGACGATCATGATTCCTACGAAAGTCCCCAGGATGAAACCGAACTGGATGAAAATAACTATATGGAGGCTAACAGAACCAAGGTACAAGGTTGGTTCGCCAATCAAGTATCGTATTCTCATTTGGATCTCGGTAATGACAATGCGCAATCCGTGGTGTCGATGGTGCACCCTGCCTTTCGCCCTGACCCTAGCCATGTCGCTGCGTCTGCTTTGCCCCCTCCGCTTCACTTCAAGAAAGACCGTAAAGCACCAGCCCAGCACTCCGGAGGGCGGCAGTTTACTGCACCAAGTGTATGGACAGACTGTACTGCGTACACGATAGATCAGAGTTCCGTCGAGCTAGACACCACAAACGCGCCACCAGTACCAAGGATACCGTCAGAGCACAGACGTAGCAGACACTCCTCGCGGAGCGGTGAAAGGACTCCTCGGACTAACTCGTGCGCCCCAACGTATAGGTCCGAGACAAGCACCATACGCCAAAGGCAACAGTCGACAGAAACTTTCCCCGCGTACGAAGACCCGTTTCTGAACTCTGAAGAGGAGCCCATCTCGTCGCCGTCTTCAAACCCAGAGAACGAGGACAAGGCCCCGCCGAACTGGCCTGCTCCACCACATAAGAAGTATCCGCCAAGAGTCCTTGAGAACAAACGTTATCAAAAGCTCTTCCTGCCTACTTCTGATGCAGGCTCCGCGCTCTCAGAACAGCGGCACGCATTCCTCAAGGAACGTTTCAAGCCTAAGGACGAGAGCGAGTACCCTGCTCAAAGCGGCAGCCAGACTTTTGAGCCCCGTCCGAGCAAAAGACCTAATGCATCCAGAACGAGGACCTCTAGCTCCGTCTATAGCAGGAGTAGCGCCGTATCTGGATCAAGCGCGTCTTCGTCCCGTGATTTCTCGCGCGGGGGAAGTACGGTTGAGTCCGAGTCTACGCGGCGTGGTGGGGATAAGACGCCTACACAGAGAGACGTATCCAGATCCGCACGCAAGTCCGTTCGCAACGGTAGGGAATCAAGTGCGTCGTCTGAGAAAGATGAACGGCCGCGCTATTCTAGGCGTAGTACGAGTACGAGCACGAGTAGTAGTAAACGCTATACCCGACATCCCAACCCCTCGTCTGCGAACGTGTCGGCTGTTACGCAGCTGAATGGCTTTCGGGGGAAGATGTGAGCGTCACAGCAAGTAAGTCAGTAGATGCTCGCTGAGCGAGCATACGATGCAGATGCACCAACTAGTAGCATTGGATAATAGAGATACCCTTTGTTTAAATTGATTCTCTGCGTCCTTCTTTATCTAATATTATTGGTAAGTAGTATTTAATGTAATGCTAATAAATTAATATAGGCAGGCCTATGTATTTATTCTAGCATGTTCAGCGTGATTTATTTCTCCTTTATTAGCTTTCTTTGTGATTCGATTATGTCTGCTTTACGATAAAACATAGGTAACCTAGTGACTTGAATCTTCGCCATTACGGTATAACACAAATGTTTTCTCTCTTGGTCGCCTTTGATGTTGAGGGATGTAATCTAGCAAGTCTGCGCCCTTGGTCACCATTGTTAATAGCCCTATCCTCCCCTTCCCCCCCCCACCTGTTCGGAAGTAGAGGCAACTGGTAATACCACCACTTGTCTCCAGCCCTGACGGCTATCTAGTTTATTGACGATTCGTGCTCTATTCGATTCTAGTAATCTGTAGATCATGGACAGAGTAAGAGAGCGTCCCAGAAACACGTGTTTTACACTGGGCTTTACTGTAGCTATATAGTATCATGTAATATTTAACAGTATGGTAGAGGTAGACTGTTTAGCCATGTTCGAGGCGTGTGATTTGCATACATATCGGTATAGATATATATCCATACATAGTTTAATTCACCAGGAGAAATGGGCACAGAATTCCCGAAATAAATATAGAAATCTAGGGAGTCAGTTCTATATCTATATCTCGGCACTTGTTCATGCGGTTGGTCCACAAGGTTAAGTTGGCTGCGGATTTTGGGGGGATGACTTAATTGCGGTGTATGTGAGACAATACCATTGTGGATGAGGGTAGTGATTAGTATGGGCTCTTCTACATTATCGATTTACCTACCAATATAATTTCTATTCTTCAAGAGTAGGTAGACAGCCTTCCCGTGTTCATCATTGCAGCGCTATATTCGTTGTATAGCTCTAATTCATGCCCTATTGTTAGTTAAAATGCACAGCTGTATGGTTGTGTATAATTTTGCTATCCTACAGGAGCCCTTTATTTTATTGTATTTTATTTCTTGCTTATATATGTGTATATGTACAAGTATGACGAATCGCAGGTGCAAACCTAAGAAGAGTCGATCCTATTCTGTCACAATTCTTCAAAACGAAGGACCTGAAGTGTGTATAGTTGCAGCCTAGATCACAAAGAAGCTTAGCCTTCTTCGTGCGACAACAAGAATTCATGTAAACCCTATAAACTAAATATCTAGACAATATGAGGGTTGTTGTTTCAAAGCTGGCGATTGACTGTAATTTTAGGTTGGAGAGCTAGCTAGTTCCCTTATAGGCTGCTTTTTGACGGTCTTTCACCATGATTCTCCAAGTCTCAATCGACTCCTGGGGGCGCATGGTCTAGAGGTATGATATTCGCTTTGCATCCGACTTGTTCGGAATATGCCTGCGAAGGGTCCGGGGTTCAATTCCCCGTGCGTCCAACTTTTGCCGTATTTGAAATACACGTTTTCTTTTTGCTCTATCAGCCTGTTGGTTCTTTTTAGTTGATACCAATTTTTGTGATGTATGTTTAAACATTGAACAGATTGTTGATGAAATGTCCCTTTCTACGGTATAAAAAAGGGGCTAGCTAATGTTGTTTTTATTCTTTTCGCTGTCGACTTAACAGCAGTACACAATAAACTAGGAAGATTTAACGTAGTGTCTGAGTAGAAACAACTATTAAACAGATAAATAAGCAGGTCAGATTTGTTATTGTTGTCGGCCCCCGGCTGTTATGTAATTATCTCCTGGTAAATCTTTTATGAGACATTCCGCCTACGTGAATTATATGGCTATGTTCCAAACGCCGAGGGAGCGAGCAAAGGTACGATCTTAGCAGCAATCATATCCATCTTGCCTCCTGGTCTTTCGTCCCTAAATTCAGACCATTTTTGCGTATCGAGTGTTTGCCACACTTCGATGAACTTGTTGTCACCAAGTTTGATCCCTAGTCTGTCGAACGCAGCCATCATGTTATTGCGCTTTTGCCAAGGTGTGATATCTCATACAAGGCGAGCCGGATCAGAGGAGGGTGGGCTGACTTGCTTGATCTCGCGTTCAATATTTGTAGGCACTCAAAATAGAAACTAAGATGACCGTAGTTAACACTGATTCATAGCCTTTAACTAACCACATCTATGAAGTCCGAATTCTGCCTTTCTCCTTGAGATAGCGTAAGTCCGTGTGATATTGTACGTGCCAATGACCAATCATGAGTTGAAGCCGTTTTTATTTATAACCCAAGGCCCATAGCATCTCCGTGTTCGCCAGATGAGCCATATAGTTTAGAAATCTGCTTTTAACCCCGATTATTGGAAAGCTTTACTATACCGCCATACTTTTTCAGAAAAAGGAAAAGGTGAAGCTTGAAAAGTTCTACGCCAAAACTTCTAAAACTTTATAAAAGTAGGATGTTTTTTTATTGGTTTAAAAAAACTCTGCAAAGCTTTAATTAGTTAAAGTTTATTTAAGGCATTAACCACAACGTATTTACAGTATTGTATACCGCTGCTGCCTACACAAAAAAATTTAAATTAAAATGCCTTGCATTTTGATTTACAGCATATTTAAAATGAAAAAAGCTTAACAGTGAAGCTTTCCATTTTAGGGACAATTCACTTGGCCGTACACAGTATTTTAGGTATACTTATATCGCTTACTCTATGCATCTAAACTTAACTCTACCTGTGTGTCAATCGTCTTAGTCCTGCGTATATATGTCTGCACCTTGATGTCTGGCCTAACCACTAACAGATGACAACCGCAGTAATTATTTGTTGGTTAAGACTAATTCCTTTTGCTTTAATTGATTGATCGATTAAATCCTATACGGCTTCAGCCACACTTTGACCAGTGGCTATGCCCAGCTGGTTGGATTTGTCAAACAATCGATGCGGTCCAAAACTTAATCCGGAAGACCCACTTTGCCAGACTGGGAAGAATCAAAACATCGCCAGCCGGTCCCTTTACCCACCGTTCCCTTCTTTCTTGAACTTCTATCTACACCTAGCTAGTACCCATAGCCGGAAACTAGAAGTTAGTCCAGACTGTCCAGAATACTAGTGCACAAAGTCATTCTATGCTTTATGATACCTTTTTTGCTCTGTCCTTTATAGTCTGCCACCCCGTACCGCTTAGTCGTATCAATATTTCTCGCTTCGGTATCATGGGCGATGCGGTAGATTTGCCTGCCAAGCCAAGAGCTGAAGCTGTCCGAAAGACCTTGATTGCCGGTAGCGGAGTCAAGTGTACCGGATCCGTACATATCTCGATGCAAGCTAGATAAACTGTGAGCTTCAAACTATATACGAGGTAAAAACTTCTAAACTCCTAAACTCTTTTACATGTATTTTTTCTTCCTATGCGGCTTGTAGTAATTTTATCCCAAGAGCTAAAAACAGAGGTCCTATATCTAACCTATAGTATCATTCCCTCAAAGACGTTCCTTTCCTAATGCTATCTACTAACGTTGCTTCACTATTCCAGCTAGAACTACCTACCATCATGCCATCGACCTTGGAACTTATTGGTCGCGGGCCGATTACATTCGAGTCAGCGATAGAGGAAGAGAAAAATTCATCAACTTTGTTTCTTATGGCCCTGCAACTGACAGGTTCTATCAAGAGCTTTGGGCACAAAGAGACTCGATTGAGACTCTTGTCAGACATCATCTAGCGCTGGATAGGGAAGCCATGTGTCGCGTATTGCCGTCGCATTGTTGGATTCGAGGCAGTTTCAACGTTTGCGTATTCGTCGAAGTGAAGTCAGGCAACTCAGCCCGGAAAGTCGTATTCCGTTGTCCTATGCCATTTAAACTCGCTGAAGCCCGGTACCCCGGCAGCATAGATGAGAAGTTAAGTAGCGAGGTCGGTGCATATATATGGATAGAAGAGAATTGCCCAGACATCCGTCCACCTCACCTATTTGGCTTTGGCATGATGAATGGCCGTCACGTGAGTCACCCTTTTATTCTCTATGCGCTCTTGCTAAGAACTTAGTTCACTCATACGAAACACCTCTCATTCTTTCCTCGTATTGTGCGGCTGTCTTGGCGTTTCATTTATAGGTGTCTTCGACTTCCGTTACTTTCTAATTTTGTCTTGAATCCGCCGAGTTAACAGAGCTATCCGGCATACATGATATTAGAGTACCTAGGCCCCGAAACAGGTCGGATGCTTTCAGATACGTTTCATATGCATAGGGAAGACGAAGCACGGAGGCAGAGATTGTTCAGAGGCATATCTCGGATAATAATTTCTCTCGCACGGCTTCCGCAGGCGCGTATCGGATCTTTCCAGTTAAATGACAGTGGTACCGTTACGTTGACTAACCGACCACTCACCTGTTCGATGATGATTTTAGAGAACGAGGGCGCCACCAGGACAATGCCGAGAAACGATACGATCAACTGTACAGATGCGTTCGTCTCGGACATGCTTACCTTTTACGATCACCGATTCCTAAGCCAGCCAAACGCTGTAAATAATAAGAGCGACTGCCGTACCCAAATGGCAGTTAAGACGCTACTCCGAGTAGTTGCACACAATTACATCAAACGAGAACTCCGCAATGGTCCGTTCCTACTTTAGCATACTGATCTTCATGCGAGCAACATCCTGGTTAACAAAGACTGGAATGTCACGGGCTTAATAGATCTGGAGTGGATATGTGCCCTACCTGCCGAAAAGCTTGCAGTACTATACTGGTTGACCGGTTGTGCCATTGACGACATCGAAGGCGGGGAACTCGACCAGTTTGACCTTGTACGACGAGAATTCATGCACATATTTAAGGAAGAAGAACAAGTGACGAAGATGAAGGCGAAGGCAAGTCACGACATCAATCTTTCCAAAATCATGCATAACATGTAGGACTCGAAAAGAGTGTGGTTCTGGTATTGTCTATCGTCTGTAAATGCCATGTACTTCCTTCTTGAGTCTCATCTGTTCCCGCCGAAATCCCTTTCACTAAAAGCTGAGAGAATTGTGTCAAGATTTTGGAGAAGGGATTCGGATAACATTGTTCGGATAAAGCTCGCGGACAAGAAAGCCTACGATGAAGAGCTTCGAGAATTGTTCAGTAAATGAATGACTATAGGCTGTAGCAGAGCCTTTGGAGGTTGGTATTGATGAAGTGGGCGTGGAAGATTTGCGCAGTCGTCGTCTCAATTATTCGCCCCTAAGGGGTTGAGCATGTGGGGTAAAAGGATCTCTGCTATTTTCCATCCTTCTCTCTCTTCTCCCTTTCTTCCTTTTCCCTCTTTTCCTTGTTTTCCTGTCTCTTTTTCGGGCGTTTCGCCAGAAGAGATTACGGTGGCGACATCTTTTCCTTTGCCGCTCACTGCGATAGTTGCATCCCCAACAACGCCACTATATTCTCCGGATGAGTGGCCATCTTGGTTTTGATCAGACATTTCCTTTGGTAGGTGGATGGACAAAGTAAACCGTCAAGGCGGCTTCCCTATGTCTCTCTGTGTTCAGCACACTGTTGAAGATGGCGCTGATCAGACTTTGCGAGTGCTTCTTGAATATCGCTCAAAGATAGACTTGACACAGCAAGACCATGCTGGCAACACCGCTCTGCACAAGATCCGTAAGGAGATACCTCTTGCGGTTGTGAAGCTTTTGGACAATGTGGAGGCAGACCTGAACACCATAAATAACGAAGGTTACACTCCATTAGCGGTAGCTATTGAAGTCGGTAATACCGAGGTTTCAGGATACCTTTTGAGTAGAACAGGTAGTAAGGGCTCCGGTCCGCTACATCGAGCGTCATTTCATGGTAATTTGGATTTGATCAAGATGATTGTCGAACGGGGTGGAGTGATCAACGAAGTTGATTCACGAATCGGCGAAACGCCACTGTATACTCATCTGAGGGGATCGAGCCCAAGCCTCCAGATCATTCAGTACCTTGTCGATACTACCAAAGCCGACGTCAACATGGCAAGTACCAGCCGCAGATATCCTATCATTCAGGCGTGTAAGAAATATGACCGGGGAATTATCCATTTCGTTGTGGAAGCCGGAGCCGATGTCAACGTTAAAGATATCCCAGAGTGAGGTCCAGTTCATTTTCTCTACTACAACTACGACCGCGATTCCGATGATATAGGTTTCCTCGCCAAGCACGGCGCAGATATCAGAGCCAGGGACAAGCTGGGCCGGACAGCAGTCCACTATGCTGCGGCACTCGCGGACGAAGAGGATCTCGAGAAATTACTAGACCTGTCTGAAATTGACGTTAACCAGAGAGATGATGACGGCTGGACGCCGCTTATTTGGGCATGCCAACAACGAAGGACGTATAACTTTGATTATGTGGTCCAAGTTCTCCTCAATCGCGGGGCAGATATATGGGTTCGGGGAAGGGTCAAAGATGAAGAGTGGTCACCTTTGAAGTTGGCGAGGTTCCACGGGGGATACGGTGGAAGTGCAAA